TCCCGGGTTCAATCCCCGGCACCTCCATTAAAAAACAAAAACAAAACAAACAACAATCAATTACCCAACAAATGTCAATTGAATGCAACTGAAATGGAAAACAAACACTTCTATTCTTCCAAGATCTTTGGCTTCTCCGTTTCTTAAGGTTTTGCCATCAAACAAAGAAAAATGATGAAACTCCAAAAAGAAGCAAAAGGGGGACTGACTTAGTTGCCTGTAAGGACAACATGAGTCCAATTTTGGAACTTCATCCCAAGTGCGACCACCACTCAGGGGGCGGAGGTGCCTCCAGGAGCCACAGCTGGCATCCTGGTAGAATGTCCCCTCCCCCTTCTCCGCTGTTTACTCTCCTCCGAAAACCTCATTTGGAGTCCTAAAGAAAGACAGGAGGGAGGGGCTGGAGAAGGAATTAGAGGGGGAAGATTCGCCTAGAAGGAAGGAAACCTTTAAAGCGAAAGGCTGGGGGGGGGGGGGCGAGGGCTGGCCCGGGCAGGAGATGCGTCAGCCCCTAATGAGGTGGCCCAGCCGCGCCTCCTCTCTAGACGTGTCTGCACACTTTTCTTTCCTACAAGGCCTCTCTTTTCCCTTTCTTTTTTTTAATTCGATGAAATAACAGTGTTTAGAACTGGAGCAGAAGAGGGAAGCGTGTAAAGCAAGGAAGAAATTGGTGAGACAGACAGACAGACAGACAGCTTCCCTCGAGTGCTTTCCCAACCTGGCACCGAACCTGCATTTTAGGACGGTTTCCTTTCAGTCACCCAAGAAGCCCGAGTTCCAGCCCGAGGGCCCGGGCTGGACCCAGGGGGAAGGGAGGGCGCTCCCTCGGGAGTATTCTAGGCCTGCCATGTAAGAAGGTAGTAAGGGCAGGGGAAAAGGAGCCTCCACGGCCCAGTCCGCGCCCGCCTGGACTTGCCTGGACGTTCTCTGCTCGCCTCCCCTCCCCGCAGCCCGGGCAGTCGTTGCGGGGCCGCTGCCCCAGCGCCAGAACCCGCAGAGAAGTTTTCGCCGCTGCAAACGTGAGAAAACGCAGCTCAGCAGAACACCCGCCCCCACCCTGCCCGCGGCCCCACCCCCGCAGCCCGACCCC